CTGGACGCCGACGGCAAAAATGGTCGCCGATGGTTTGACCAAGATGCTATCCAGACAGCAGCATGAGAACTTCATCAAACTGCTCCGAATGGTCCAGATTGAGCATTTGATTGAAGGAGGAAATTGATATGACAGATTCGAAGTATTTGGCAATGATTCAGCAAGCCATTAATCAGGGCTTACTGAGGGGGTGTGTCGGCCATAACTTACGAATACTGTATAAAACCGGATCTATAGTTGCTCCGAGTTTCATTGATTATGTAATTAGATCAGCCCCATAAATTGACAGAGGAAGGGGTAATAGCAATACAGAGTCATCAACATCATCCATTGGTCGAGGACAGTACGGTAAAACAACATATGATTATAGCCTCAGGCAGTGATCTCCTCAAGGAAGGGACATAGGCAATCTACGACTGTAGAGAATGATGAAGAGGAACATGAATGCCACTCATTTCTTGATTCAAGATTCATGATCATTATGCTCCTTGATATAGCATCCGATTATCACTGTTAAGACTCATTTGCCTAGAGTCCCTAACCTGACTTGTTGTTGGGTTTTCTTGCCACCATTTGTCGACCCGTCTGTTTTGACCAGACTGCCATCGAGCATCTCCCAGTTCAGCAGATAATTTTGAACCAAACTGGAACATTAGGGGAGGAGCCGGGTATAGGTATGAGGAAACCGGTGTTTGGGAAATACAATATGACGATGCAATTTGGATTGTTCTTTTTACTTTTCTCCTTCTCTCAGATTTTGCCTCTTATTTTGTATAGCAGCAGACTTTTATTTCTTAAGCCAAGTAGTGAAGTTTTATTACTCACTTTGCATATTGATTTAATCATACAGTATCGCCCGATAACTGTTTCGCTCATGGTGTTGTCCCAGAGCATTACATTTTCTTTGATTTTCCAACTTCCACACAGTAAATTTAGTATGTAAATCTGTTACAGTATGGATGGATGATAACATTTACTCTGGCCTCTCGCTTTTGGCGATATACAGAGCCATTGTATATATCCTTGTATGTGCATGTGCAGTGTCCCACTTCCTAAAAACGAACGTGGAGCCCTCATCAAGGCCTATCGTGGTCCAGGTGCCGTTCAAATTATTAAGCTGGCGCGCGACTTTGGAATCTTTGTGACGCTTCCGCGAAGTCCAGTACGGCTTTGACCGTCCTAGCCCGTGACGCGATGTCTAGCTTGCCTCTCTTACCTTCGTTTGAGCCTCCTAGCAGACTGGACACGTCTTTGAACACGTCCCCAACTTCACGTCTTGGCTCCCTTCGTATTTCCCTCAAATTTGGGCAGTCCTCCAGCACATGGGTGATTGTTTCTTGCGCGCCGCACACACACTGACCATTGTCGCGGAAGCTAAAGGTCTTCGCATAGGTGGATAGCCAATTATGGCTCGTGCGTAGCTGTGCCAGCAAGTTCGCCCGGTCGCTGGGCAAATTTCCATACGGCTTCCTGGTGTAGGCTGCTGGCAGCGTGCTATCGATTTTCCGCAAGTGACCGCCTTCGGTAGATGCATTCCATTCCCGCTCCCACTGAGCGCGGATGTTGTCGCGAATAAGCCTTCGTCCTTGTTAGCAAAGGGCGGAAGGGGCGTGTTTTGCCCGGGCTTGCCGCGTCCTTGGCTAGCTGATCTGCTGCGTCGTTCCATAGATTATCGCAGTGTCCGGGTATCTATCGAAGACGAAGCTTGATTCCCTTTGCTCAGATCTCTGTGGCCACCTGGAGGATCGGGTGAATGATGCGCTGTCCTGATTTGTTTCCTAGGTTTTAGATTGCTTACAATCAAGTCATGTGAGTTGGGAGGTATAACTGATTTCGAAAGAAACTGTATGTAAGACCACTAAATTCACAAATAAAAGCTTACCTTCTTGTGATGAAACACAAAGTTACAAAATACGAAGACCTTTTACATCTCCTGCCGCTGTTTGACATTGTTGTTCTTGTTTGGTTGCCCCCAACCGCTGTAAAATCGGTCGACAAGTAGAGCGATGAAAGTCGATGATCTAAGCACGGCCAAGTTCTTCACTCTAGAGGATATTGTCTCGCCGCAGGTCTTCTTGGATTATACCTAGGGCTCTAATTTCCTTGTTTGATCTGTGAGTCTCGCGGCGAAGCATTGCTTCAGCTTTATCGTCGCTGTGCATTAGCCTCCCCAGCCCATTACGATCATGTGGCGGATTTCTCCAGCGCCATGAAGATAATAGATTTTTACCAGTTCAATAGTACCCAAGAATGTAGGTACAGTAGATCCTTGGGCCTTGCGCAGCACTCGATAAACCTGCGCTTCGCGGGAAACTTCTTTCCACAACCCCGAAGTGGTGCCTTTGCCGATAACTGTGTAGCCATATTCTATGCCGTTCGGTGTCTTCATTAAAAATGTACGAAACATTGGTTCAGCCTTATCAGCGTATAGTTGATTTGTTGGAAGTGACCTACCGCGCTAACCTTCCATAGAAGATATACGAATAGATAAGTATCTCGATAATGAATTTCATCACCGCATTATCAAACTGATGGTCTTGGCCGATAATATTGTAAAATTCACGTAAACCACACCCTGAGTCATTAAGCCCTAGTTGTCGCTGCAGGTTTTCTTGGATGTAACCTGGAAGCCAAGTTTCACCAGCAGGGAGGCTTGAAAAAATGTCCCTCATGGCCCGCAGTATCTCAATAATAGGAAGCCCGTCATGAAAGTACTGCATCTTTTGCTGAGCAAGGACTTGAAGATCAGTAAGACCCCAAGGACTTGACGCATTGTAGACTAAAACGCTCCTCTTATACTCTCTGGCGAGATCTGACGTGCCTCCGCCCAGAGGCGAGCTGACCGTCTTGTAGTCGCCTTTGTATAGGAAGTGTCCCACAGTATGCCCAACATCTTCGTCAACATGAGATAAGATAAAAGTCGATAATCCAAGTCGTGATGGGGCAAAATTTGGGTGGTTCTGAGGGAAATGAGCCGGAATGCCATATCGCTTGCTTCCTATAATGATGGCAACAAAAAGAGATTCATACGGCCAGTATGTAAGTCAGAAAATGCTAGTTGTTACTTATTCAAAGAAGTCACGATGACGAAGGCCGATGATAGTCAATTTTGGGAGAGATCTCTGGGGTGAAGGATCGCCCGGGAAGCTCATTAGACTTGCGCTGTTTCGTTTTCTTCTTTGCAATTTTTTTAGTCTACTGTAGCTTCTTCGCTGGCTTTCAAGTGATCGCTGGAGATGTCACAGGAAGTATATGAAAGATAAATGGGAGAGAAGGCCTGAATACATCTAATATAGCGGGGAGTGGGGAGAGGCAGGGTAATTAATGCAAGTATGAGCGGTTGTTAAATGATAAAATAACGCTTTTCACGTGAGAGTTATTCTCGAAATACCGACATGACGCACACATATTGTGCCTATCTATGTCATGCTGGAATAGCTGGCGAGATGCGCTGAAGTGACGATCACAAGTCGTGCATATGTTATGATCATCCTCAAGATGTTCATCAAGCTCTTCTTTAGTTGGATAATCCAACGGCGAGGAGCAAAAATGGCAGAGATGGTGATTCAGTGAGTCTAATATTTGCTGCTGCTTGGCATGAGTCGTTCTCAATCTTTTCTGGCAACGTGCACAGACGTGCTTCAGCTGCTGCATCACTTGAATATAGGCGTCCCAAAGAATATATTGAGTTTCGCTGTCTGAGGACCCGACTTCAAGACCATGTGGGAAAACTGAGCGGGGCTCAGAAAGGGGTGGGACACGGATCAACAACTTGTCCGGATCGGCTGACAAGCATTCTAGCATACCATTAATATGGGACAATCAAGAGATATCAGTGGAAAACAAGGATTAGGGGGTCCAACGCTTCGGTCCATACCGAAGGGTTGAATCTCTTCGAGGGAAACAATACCATATGTTGCGGAAGCAAGGTCATGATAATGGCCTATATACCAAATGGTATGGCCACCGAAGTCGCTGTAAGCACCCAGGGGCCATTCGCCGACCGTCTGGTGTTAGGAGCTCACGTCAGATGTTTCAGTCAGAACTCCAGCCCAAAGCAACATCGACCAGTTGTTTCAGAAAATCCTCACGGCCGAATTTATTCCTACTAGCCAACAGAAAGTGGTATCCAGCCCGCCAGTTATCTAAAGAACTTCGCGATCCGAGCTTCTCGATGATCGTGTCGAATGTAGATATTAATATAACAAAGGAAAACACGCGTGCAACAGTGCAAGCGCATCTAGCACTGGCGTCACGTCAATATGAACGTATCGCTCCGCACGAATTCTCGAACGGTTAGAAGTTTGCGAACTTCAACGGATCGAATCGAATCAAATTCGAACTTTGGAATATGTCAAGATAGGTAGTTGTAGTGTTCTTCTTAGGGTTACTATCAAAATCGGAAATCCCATCTACTGAAATGTCCATCGCTAGTTCCGCCATAAGCTTTGACCATCGCGATACTCAACAGACTCCTAGCCCACAGATTCATGTGCTAAGAATGAAATGCTGATGCACATCATTTTAAACGAATTTCTCATGCACAGCGATTACCAACTAGCATATTACCCGATTGCTCAAACGATCTCGTTAGCTTTCCACGATGAAGTGTTTGTCATTACTGACCTCACAACCAAGCTCATTTGAACAGTACGTGCTCTCAAATAAATGGCACTGAGACATGACGGTGCTGGGTCATACGATGTTCACTTACCTTCGTCAATTAGTGATGATGATGCCCTGGGGAGTGCAATGCATTTGCAAGACCTGCAAGAGCAATCGCTTTAAGGATGGACAAGTATTAGAGAAACGAAACTCCCACGAAAGCAAATCGCCATGACTTTAGTATTACTCTGACTTATTCTTCGGCGGATGTACACTTGGCTTGTTGATTCATTGTGGTTCCAAACACACCAAGACGAACATAAAGCGATGAATATCAGTGATGAACACTCGGCTAAGCTTCCACATCTCTGACCTGAAAAACTAAAGAGGTGGTGCTAATTCAGAGCCAGCTTCGCAATCCACCAGGCTTTATCTCTCCCAGACATTCGAGCCACGTCATCCAAACATTGAAGTATAACATTCTTCTGAGACACCGAAAGCACAATAGGCCCCTTGGTACTAAGATCTTCTAGAAGTTCCGAGGCGTCCGTTGCATCACGCAACTTTTTCCCCGGCGTGGGTCGTAATCCGCAGCTGTTGATCTTGAAGATGAGTAGATCAAGCTCCGAGATATATGGCAGTGCATTCGGTCGAACAGTAGATATAGGTATCGCGGCAGAGGGGACATAGGGTGACTGTAGGTTACCATTAAAACGATACTGTTGAACAAATAATGCTACCAACGGTCTCACCTGCCAATCAGGAGTAATATCTATCTGAATTAATTTGCCATTAGAGCCTTTGTAGTAAAAAAAGCTGAGCTTTTTGTTGGAATGGAGATGATGGCAAAGCAAGCAGTTTGTCTTTGACTGCTTTGGGAGCGCCCTGGACAGTTATGAGGAAGTCGACGTCCTGTTAGTAAGGCCATCAGCGGCTACTCAAAGTCCATGATTGGCTCTTGAGAACGAACCTCAGTTGTGCGGTAGTTACGAATGTATCTCCAGAGACCTAAGCCCCCGATGATAACGATTCGGGAGTTTGAGAATTCCGGTATGGTTTTGAGGATTTCAATAACAACCCCGGCAGCTGCCTCCAACTCAGCAAAAGACAGCCCGCTAGACATTGTAGGTATTGCAAATCCAAATATTAGAAAAACTTGTTTTCTGGAAATGATTTGTGCCTAAGGAGGATGCTCTTGGCTATCTTTCTGAATGCTGTTGCTTGCCTGGTTTTATAAATCCGTCTCATTTAATGTCACATGACAATGGCGCCAATCAAGATATATTTAGCGCTGGATACCCCTCATCTTTAGGTGACTTCACAAATTTCGAAACAATTGTGTGGCATGTAACCGCTCATGGCTGAGACGCAATTCCAAATGATTTCTGACCTACACCTGGAATCCCCAGCTGCATACGATATTTTTGAAGTCAAACCCCGAGCGCCATATCTGGCATTAATCGGCGACATTGGTTATGTTAAGGACGAGGGCTTCTTTCAGTTTATTCGCACTCAAATAGAAGCCTTCCGCATCGTATTCCTTGTTCTTGGCAATCACGAACCATATCACAGCAATTGGACTCAAACAAAGTTACGGGTGAAAATATTTGAGTCCCAACTCAAAGAGTCTTTCACACGAGGCGAAACGTCGGGCCAATTTGTTTTCCTCGATCAGACACGCTATGATCTTTCACCGACACTGAGCATCCTCGGCTGCACCTTATTTTCCCAAATAGCCCAAACACAGATCAATGACGTCAGTTATGGCTTGAACGACTTCTATCATATTAGTGATTGGTCGGTTGAAGCACATCAAGAAGCACACCAAAGTGACCTTGAATGGCTCAATTGTGAAATAAAGTCCATTTCGCGTTTGGAACCTAGTCGCAAAATCGTTGTGCTCACCCATTATTGTCCCCTAATCGGCGAAGACGTCGTCGATCCGAAGCATAGGCATAGCAAAATCTCCTCTGGTTTTATGTCTGATCTGTCAGGCGAATTCTGCTGGAAACAGGAGGTTGTGAGAATATGGGCTTTTGGTCATACTCATTTCAATTGTGACGTCCGAGACGCAGAGACCGGAAAAAGAGTGATTTCAAACCAAAGAGGATACTATTTTTCTCAGACAGAGGGGTTCGACACAACCAAAATTGTTGAAATATGAGCCACCGAGAGAGAAAACTATGAAAAAAGCATGACCTTCAAGGAAAAACTAGTAATTCTCGATTCTGTGCAGCTGAGGGCGCTTTGCAGTCAATTCACTGCGGAGATCATCTAGGAGGAGATACATCCTTGAGAAATCTCCTTCTTTGAGTGCACGATAGAATGATTTATAGGCTTCGCCCAGGCTGTTCTCATCAAATAAAACTGTCTCGTCCACGTATTCCAGAATATAGGTCAGAATCGCCATCCAGTAATTTGCAGATCTGGTGCCATTATCTCGACATAGCAACATGATTACAGCCTCGCAGTATCGAACAGGGTGAGGAATCTGTACAGAGCCAAATTCAGGCGGGAAGCGTCCTCGGCCCCGGCCGGGTACCGCTGATGGAAGGCGTTCGTCTGAGGCATTCAAAATGTCTAGGCTCCCTTCGGAAAAAGATATTTCCCACAGCACGTCGGACTTCCGGTATACTGAGATCACAAGTTCGTCGTCAATGTGCCAATGCTCAATGGGGAGGTTTCCCCGGTATCCATCTAAAACAGGGCAGCCTAGGCCAGGCAGACAACCGGCAAAACCAGCTTTCCGAATCGAGGTCAGGGCAATCTTCGTCGATTCGTCGGGTATAACAAAAGCCACACCCTATGATTAGGTCAAAAACATTTCATTTAGAAGGAAGAAAAAAAACGGACGTCAACAATAGTGGGTACGCCATATACAGTCAGTAAATAATTGCCCCAAAGGGTGTTCGGAACTCCAGCGGAGGTAAATATACTAGAGATCGTTGCGACAAGCCTTTCATCCAGCGTGTGAGCTTGCGTGTGAGCGTCAGACATAGTGAAAGATATGTAGCATATCAGACGTGATAACTAAAAGACGGTATCGCGGGCGCAGCAAGAAGGAGCGAAGAGAAAGGGGTTCGGCACAGGTGCAAGAGGATGACCGCCGGTATAAATCAGTTTAACGTAGTTCACAACCGAGCGGCCACCACAACCGAGTGGCCACCTCCGAAACACATAGTAAATCCGATATATTACAACTTGGTATCTCAACAACAACAAATCTATATAGAGTTTTTTTTCTGATAGCCTACTACTTTTTAGGTGTAACTAGCTTTATTAGGGAGATTGAGTATTGTTACAGGTTTGTAAATGCGATAATATATAAATTTCTGGCTCTATGCAGTCTAATTTTCAAAACCACGATAACGTAACCTTTCGAGAATCTTAAAATTGATATATAGGACCAAGGATCCTTATCGATATCTATCCAGAGTTAGTAAAGTCATACAATAATGTGGTTGTTGAAATATGAGGTTCTAAAATATTGCATTCACTATGTGTTTTGGAGGTGGCCACTCGGTTGTGGTGGCCGCTCGGTTGTGAATTACGTTATTCAGAATGCTTAGGTCATCGCAGCCACACGGATCCGGCTGATATATTCTTCCGACAAATTGCGTTCCTCCCGTGCGAAATGAGTGTCGGACTTGGCTAGAAGCGTCAGATCTAGTATCGGCTCCGAGAGATGCAGTATGCCCTAGTACTAGAATCAAGCAATGAGGTCGTTGCCCAGTACTTGAGGTGTGTTTCTACATAATTTTGATAACAAGATCAAGGGCGGTTTGGAGCTGATTCAGCAATTCATGCCTTGGGAATCAGGAAGCAGTGACTGTTGGATGAAACAACTGACGCTACAGTAGTAAGAATCCTCTCCACTGTAACCGACACTATGCTCCCCAATTAATACTGTAACCAGAGGCGTGAAGGCCGACCATGATAATCAAGTGCCAGGCTAGAGAACTGCCTACTCCTGAGAACTAACAGTAGTTCGCTTTCCAACCAATAGCCGCCCATATGTGCGTCCAGTGGGACCAAGGGTTCTGCTTCCTGGCAAAAAAGCCAACCACGGGTACGACCGAGCGTGACTGTCGGTCACAACCTCATCACCTTCAGCGAGATTCCGAATCATAGCCAGAGTGGATACCGCTGTGTTGAGTGATTTAATGGCAAATTTAAGGATGTGTGGAATGATATTATTGAGGCATGACTCTCTTCTCAACAGTTGATGAAAATGATTCACCACACTCAAAGCAAGATTTTGAAAGAGAATATTCCAGGATTCGAGGGAGACTGGACTCAGTACTGTCGAGAGGAATGGGGCCGTCAATACGGAGGCTTCCCCACCAGCATTTGAGCGAGGACGAAGATTACAGGGATACACGTAGTATTTTGTATGGTAACACGGGCAACCTCGGAAGCCCGATGCGGTACGGTATAAGCGGTCGCACACTGTGGTATTCCAGCGGCATCTAGATAGGCTTCTTTCCTTAGACAATGTCGATTTCCATTGGAGATTCTGTATACTAGTCCATACAGCTTCCGACGTATGTAAGTACAGAGGCGCCGCAAAAGTCTGAGATCACCCGGGGTACCTGTCTTTACCGCCTCCCTATTGAGGACATACCGCCAACTAACTAAAACATGAGTGGTGCGGCCACTATTTGCCCGCAGAATAATTGACCTGATACCTCGGGCGGTCTCAGACTTTTGCGGCGCCACTGTACGTCTAGGTCGAGTCAGCGAGCCGTTACCAGTCATGTCGTGACATTGGGAGCGGTGAGGCGATCGTTTTGGGGCGGCGGATATCGCGGAGCAACCCGAACGGCATTGCATTATTTCAGGGTCTACTGTATGGGGGTCCATAGGGTCCATAGGGGGGCAAATAGGGCCAAAATGGGGCAAAGGGACATTGCCTGATATCGGAGTAGGTTGTATGGAAGCGGAGATGCGCGGATGTGGGGAGATTGGCTACGAGAGATCTAGTCACGTGTACAGTAACACGTGTGTCCCAACATCACAACTCCTTTGGAGTTCGCAGCATTCACGGACTCCCCGTCGTCCCTTTTTTGTTGAATGGCCCCCCTCCCCCCGTGGTCTCTTTAGGTGTAAAGCCGAGTTTGGCATAGGACATATACAGAACGAAGAGGGGTTTCCTATGACGTCGTCTCTCTTGTTTGGCATCTGCTCTCCACTTGGGCCTCACAGGACTAATTTCCTCTCAAGACGATTCTCTGAGAAGGATTAGGCTCTCGGAAGAAAGGTTTTATACCGAGGCCTACAAGAAGCGCTGCATAGTTCAAAGATAGACACAAGACAGGCTGCTCACTTCTCGGGGCCACCTAGCCATTTTGAGGACCAACCAGCCATCTCATATCTCTACTGGCCTCTTGTTACGAGCTACACAGTACCCATATCTGCTTAAAATGGTCCCCATGATATTCTCGGCTTCACGAAACGACCGGGCGTGATCGAATCTGTTTCCTCGTAGTCGTACCTAGTGTTACGCACTTGCCTCCGGGTCGTCATTATGTTAGGAGACTGTCTGGATTATACTTGCCTAGTTGCTGACTTCCAACGTCAACGATCTGTCTCTCAACTGTACCGTTGCCTTGCAGGCCTTATACGGGCTAAGTCCTTTTGAGGGTATCGAGGAGCGATGCCAAGTAGAGCGCCGATCAAGTCTATACCGGAGTATTGGCTGGATCGTAGTGTTGTCAAGTGATAACTAAGTTGTACGAGTCACAAAGGTTTCCAAATGGTAGACACAAGTAACAATGGACGATTGAACACGGAAAACTTAGCTAGTTACATTAGGTCTATATATATATCCCGAACTCTTCCTGGTAGATGAGTAGAATGTAGAACAGTAGAACTGTCCTACTTGTCGACTGTCGACTATTCTACTACTTGCATGATCACGTGTTTGCCGTGTGATTAACTAACTTATGAATTGCAGTATAAGTAACCACGTGTAATCACTTTGGTTACTATTGGCGGGTGTGGCGTGCTGTTAATTGGGTCCGAAGTCGAAAACCCCCCCCCCCCTTTTTTTGGGAAATATCACTTTACGTCCATCGCAACACGGCTTTAACTGTCCAAAAGACGCGTTTTCACGTGTTAGAT